TAAACCCACCGGTAGAAAGAAATCCACACCAGGTTTGATGTAAAGTTCTCTAGCGATCAACACTAGCTGATAATTCACGATCAAGTTACTCTCAAGACGAAGGCTGTCAGCATGTACAATAACTTTCTTTAATGCTGACCATTTCGGGATATCTTGTTCTAAGTTTGCAAGATCGTAATCAAAGAATCTCAAGGTAAACTCCTCGGGTTGAAGGTCCTCTAGGTATTCTCTTGGGTAATTGAGGGATGCTGGAGAGATACAGTTCACGTAGCATGGAGAACCTTTAGGACACAGCATTGTGCTGGATTCCCTAAACATGATGATACTATGATAAGCGGACAGCAGGGGAATCCCCCTTTATCACTATTATTGCATGCTAGCTTACCCTAATGGAACATACTGCAATGGAGCAGGAATTTGGGTGACTTGGCCTTTATTAACAAACCTGAAGATGAAACATTGTAGCACTAAATTCTCGCGCGCTGATTGGCTGAGGAGCATTACACAGTGTGGTGACACCACGTCTCAAAGCATTGAGATGTCATGACTTAAAACATTGTGCAATTTGTTAATTATKAAATGCATACATAGTGAGTGAATGTGTGTGTAAAAGAGTGAAATTTCATTACGTAGTACGTAAGGACGTAGTACGTAAGTACGTAGAACGTAAGTGGAGGTACTCACACTTTACGTAGCGCTCCTAGACCATGAAATGCACCTGGCATGATCGTTTTGATTTGATCTGAATTGATGTATCTAAGAACATAAACACGTTGACTGAATTAGGAATCAAAATATATCAAATTGAATCAAATACTTGTCATTGAAAGTGATTATACTGATTATACATACAAATCTTCRAAGCTGACGAGGGAAGTCAGTTTGTTGCTGGTCAAACGATCCAGTCTCATGTTTGTAAGGAACCTGAAAGTCAATATTATCATAAATTGTCAAACTTTTTGTTTCCCGAAAACAACTTGGCGAAAAACTAAAACAAGAGACAGTGCGGGTTGGAGAAGTCGGGCAATTACATAGAGAGTCTGCTATGGACAGWAGGAACTGAGACTGTGTGCAACTCATGGTGCAAAGAGAAAAGATGTGATGGTGATAAAAGTTCTTACAGTTGCTTTAGCTTTGTTTGTTGATCGAAAAGACCTTCAGGGAACTCCACGACTCTGAATMGGTCACCAGCGAGGTACGCAAAGATCCCGGTATCACCCAAATCCCTTAAACAACAAATGATTTTTTTTTTTAGTAAAATGTTGAATTAGCGAGAATTTCATATTTTACAAAGTTTAAAAAAAGGAATTTGATAAGACCCTGAAATTGCAAAACAGTAGTTAGRAYAGGTCATACAGCTGACTCTCTTTGAACGAKCACTCTCGTAAGCGACCATATCTCTTTTGCGACCACCTTTTAAATTTCCCGTTATAATTGTTTCCCATATAAACTCTGTAAAAAAAACTTTCTCGTAAGCGACCATCTTTCATAAGCTACCACTTTTTACTGATCGCGAGGTGAGAGAGAGAGTTGACTGTATTTCCATGTATTCACAGGCTCATGACCGATATTTCTGGTATATTTCTGGTAATGGTACTAAACTCTCTTATGTATTACTTACAAAATTTCGAGTTCTTTTAGATGCGCGAATGAGTCATTGAACAGGTAGAGTCCTTTGACTCCTCGGATGTATCTGTTGAAGACATTTTGGTCTTAATATTAAAAATATTGATGATGATGAGGATTGCAATGATGATTGACATGGCAGTGATATTTAATCGTATGAACGAGGTCCAGTAGTGTTTATACCAAATTATATTATAGCTATCATAGTTCGCGCTCTTTGATTAGTCAAATATTATTGTTTATTTCACCAGTAAAAACACGGATGCGAAAATGCTATAATATAAAAGCAATAAACAAAACATTTTCGTGCGTTCCTGGTGAAATAAACCACGCGGGGYATGTTGGGAGAACATGATAAAGGCGTAAAAWATCTCGAGCCGAGATTGCTTAAGGGACATTAATATCATGATAATATTTATAGTTGGTGATGATAATATGAAAAGAAAAACTAACAAAAAGTGATGGTATATCATTTTCACTTACAGTCTTTTGGTAAAATCAGGAAAATTTGGCGTTTTTTTGTATTCAAATTTTGCGTCGCTGCCGCATCGTACTGTCTTGAGCCTGGCGTCCACCTTACATGAGCAGACATCCTTGTCGTACGGACAATTCCTGATGCCTTTTTTTTCTACCAATAAACAAATATTACTGAGTCAAAATAAAACACATTGAACGACCATAATGTGTGGATCGTGGTACATGTAGTGCCATACTTTGTTTCTTTTCACAAATGAATCCATTTCTTGCACGACAGTTTTCATCCTCCCATTTCGCTGATGTGAAGTACATTTTGGCGCAGTCTTCACCYTTACCAGCATTGTTTGGTTCTCCTTCTTTCCAGGCAACAAAGGTGGAATTYCTACCACTCTGCCACACCCACTCRCCTTCCTGGAAATGGTAACTTTTTCAATAAAAGTGATTTYTACAATGGTGTWTGAATTATAGTCAATGGGTGTGAGGTTACTCTCTAGGTTGGTGGGTGTCAATAAGACTGTGTGTCTCAGAGAGGTGAATGACTTTCAAGAGTATGTATAGCAAAGAGAAGTGTCCAGGTGTCTCCCTTAAATACCTTGCGCATGTCAGTGTAACCAATCCAGAAACTATGCCACTGTCTATTGCCAACTTCTGTGAAGAGCCACTCATTCTCATCATTGGTTTCTATGGTAACCAAGTCTGATTGACGTTGCTCGCACCAGTCACGTGCTCCGTACCAGTCCCTCGCTTGCTTGTTCGAGTCTGTCTGGGACTCAAATCTATAGCAGTGTCTGCCATAAGCTTTCCATTCCTTCTCGCACCAATCTTGGAGAGGTTGAGAAGAATCTGCAAATAAAGATAGATTCAAGGCACCATTATCATTAGTCCATGTAAGCCCATCTGTATTGGTCCCTTAGACCTAATCGATATTAGTCCCTTAGGCTCTATAAGCATTAGTCCTTTACGGCCCTATCAGCAATAATAATCATAATAATATTTAATATTTATAAAGCGCCAATTCTATTTGCATACTCAAAAGCGCTATTCACAAACAATAATATAAATATATAGTGGACCTAATCCTCGCCGGCTACGTTATAGCTACAATACATGATGTAATGAAACTCAACTTACATTTTGCGAACTGTAAGCACAACACCAACACCAGAGTTTTCCAGGTAACAGACAGCATGACTGGAAAAATAAGATGGTGCTGGTCCTCAATAAACACGATATATATAGAAAAGACTCCTTACTGGTCATTCTTATACTATCATGATATAGCAGTACCAGTAAACCAGTACAAAATTGAACAGTCAAGATCTAATAGACAACAAGGAAACCATGCAATGATGTACAACTCGTTTTACAGACAATTACTTTTGCGACTGATCAAAAAGTTTCAAAGAAAGCAACAAGGCTTTGCTATGAATTCCTCTAACCATTAACKAGGAAATCGGACAAGACCTGCGCGCGAGACACGTATATTAGTTCATCTTTTGTCGATTTACGTTAAAATTAAAATTTTGTAATCGGTTTTGAAAAGCACCAACGCTTTCCTTTTTAAGCTCAACATATAAAATTGGGCCATTATTCAACAACTGACAAAGTGATTTTTCGCTGCACACCCTAAATCTTGTTACATTTTACCAATACTTTGAAAAATCTTGAAAAATGSCGGTTAAGAGGTCGTAACAATAAAAAAAATTGATGGATGATTACTGGAAAMTCTGTCATACCTTGAGAGCAAGATTACTTGAATCGTTCTACGGAAAACTTGATGAAGCAATATCTTATACCTGGACTTTTTTAAGTAGTTTATCAAGCCCACTTAGGTACTCATGAATACCAGGAATAGAGCAAACATCATGTCTTTGAAGTTACCGCTTCTATTAAATCAAAAAAATTGCGAAAATTGCTGAAATTGTGCTATACAAATAATTATTTTACAGAAGGCAGAGGTTTAATACTGTGTTTACGTTTATCTGGTTCTTTGTGGTCAMTGTGTTTGATCATGTGTAAGAGTGACGAAACTGGTGACGACGTCGGATAGAAATTAAACKAATYCACCTTCGTAGAGTCGAGAAAGGTTAAACAGCTGGTGCGGTTACAATCTGAATTTACTCTTTTTCTCTAGWTCTTTATCAATACTAACTAAATGTCCACTTTCATTTCAGGTTTATTGGAAAAAGAATCTTTCAAACCTTGACCATTAAAGATTTTATTAAAAAACTCAACCGTCTCTACGTATTTACTTGTTTTAACAGATTTGGGTCATAGTTATTTAGAAATCAATAAAATTATCAGCTGCTCAAGTTCACCTTTGTCTCGTCCATATTAACATTGCTAT